TTAGATGGCTTGGTGTGGTGCTGGTCACCCATCTCCTTTATTGGATCTGCTATACAGCATGGAGGGCTTGGGGAGGAAGAATAGCCAAGAGTGTGGAGTGGAGAAATGGGACTCCTGTCTCATTCTGGTGCTTTACCACTTCAGATGAAAACTGTCATCCTATTTGCCAGACCTGTATTCAATCTCTTTGGGATAAAAGTGCTGCAGAAGCTGCTTAAGGGTGCTCCTAGAGGGGACATTTTTCATCTTTCACAGGACTTTACTGGCTGAAAACCCTACCTTGTTCTGAGGCTTCTTCAATCTTTAGTAGTCATAATGCTTTGCTTAGATAAGAAATTACTATTTGGAGAACTGACAGTGTGAAAATGTCACTCTAACTTCAGTATTCATTCCAAATGGAATCTTCTTTAGGAAGTCTTGGTTTTAACAGTTGGATATTGTAGGAGGTGGCTATGCATATTCACAAAGGCTATAGTTGTTATTGCCTTGCTTACTAAAATTAAATCAAAAGAAAAGGAATAATGTGTTACTGATAAGGTTTTACTTTGTGTTTAATGAGGATTAGTGTAGTGTGGAATAAGCGTTTAGGAAAATATTTTAAAATAATCCTTCCTAATTCTTCTACTGTAACTTAGCTTAGAATTGAATTCACGTTATTTTATGAGGCAACTAGACCATGTGCACATTTTGCACCTTGTGTCTGCAAGAGGTCAGGCTAACTTTTCTGGATGTACTGTCCAAGATCAGAGGGCTCAGGATTGCTGTCCTTGAGTAAATCTTCAAAGACACTATTGAATRGAGTAATAGTACAGTCTAAACTATTTTTTTAACCTATAGCAGTAATATACAATGCCTGTACTTCAATTTGTAGTAGAAAGTAGCAGACTAATAACCCTGGGCAGGGCTCTATCTTGTTAAGATTCGCCAGAGCGGGACGGCAAGCCTGCTGTGAGAGCTGAGGTTCTTCCCCATCAGCACTGGTCATGGCCCTGGCTCATTGCACAGACATGCCATTTGGATTTGTGTGGATTCCTAAGACTTTAGCAAAGGTTTGTATTTCATATTTAAACATCAATTAGGTAACCTTGCTTGGCTGTTGCATACCATAGTCCTTGGCCCCCAAATTTGCACTAGAAGCATGTGGATCAGTCATTCCTAAATATAAATAATAGCTTGAAGTCCTTGCTCCAATTAGTATGTCTAATTTCTGAGATGCTGGAACGGATTAAGGCACTCTTCTGGCATCTGGTATCAACTCTTGCATCAAATCTTGCAAAAGGTGAGGGTTGAATCCAAACCTTATGGAAGAGTGTCAAATTCTATTGTTATGCAGTATAGCCAGGATTTTTCTTTAAAAGAAATGCTTCTTTGTGAGAGAATTCCAGATAATGAGAATGCTTTGGTGCAGAATTACATGCTTTRTGAAAGAATCATAATCCTTTCCAGTGCTTGTCTCTTGCCTATAGATTTTGGTGCTTTCTAGCAGCTTAGAATGGCTRTATGCACACATCAGTATGTGAGAGACGTGATAGTCTCTCTGAGTGCATTAGGATAATGTAATCAGACTAAACTTAAATCTTTCAGCAGAAAAAAAATTATTCAATCTGCTTTAAGATTGGAAAAAATGGTCACTTGAATTGGTACTTTCATTGTTAACAAGTAAACAGCTTTCAGAGTTGCAGACATTTAGAATTTTATTTCTGTGCATTTAGTGTGTAGGAATGTAACATATGAGCAATGAAGCTGTAAAATTTCCTGCGGTGCTTTAGTCTTAGAAGTAAGAGTGTCTGCTTTGGGAGGACTGTATTAAATGGCTTTGCTCTTTGTAAACTGCGTTTATGAGCAAGGGGGGATAGAGAGCAACCTTTGTGCCTGGCCAAAATCCTGTATAGATCTGGTTGGAATAAATTATCGTAGCTCCATTAGAGTCACTACACTACAGCAGTTTACACTAGTTGACCCTGTTTAAAACTCTTTCAGATTTTTATCAGATACTTCTTTAACTGCTCAAACAAACCACTCCCAAACTGTTTTATGGTGCGTGCTCAGTTAACAATATCTGAAGTAACTTTGTGCTGGCTTAATCATGTTTGTTCACTAACTGCAGAAAGCAGCACATACACGGCACTTCTGGAACACTGCTCTTGTGCCACCTGCATTCAGAGGGAGAGCTGCTGTAACCCTGGACAGACCCTGCCCTTAGCCATCCTCAGTACCCTGCTTGTCTAGGTGGCTACTCAGGGAGAGGATGGAAATAAAGGGATTTTTTTCCTCCCCCCTGGGGAAAACTATTCTAAATAAAATTATCTTTTATGGGATTGTCTTCTATATTTCCATTTCTATAGTTAAAAAAGCCAACTATATTAAGATTTGAATAAATAGCTAAACAGCTTCTAAGGTCCTCTAAGATCTAAGGTTTTGGATCACTTACCGTCCTTATGTTTTACAGAACTGGTAATCCAGAGATGTGTATTAACCGCAAGAGTCAGCCCTTAGAGTACTGCATAAGTAGACTACTAAAAACAATCCTTCCTAATCTATATAAATTGTTAAGGATGACCTATTAGTGCAGCTTTTCTTAGAATCACATATTTGCAGAAGAAAAAAGCACCAAAGGGAGGTCTGTAGAAGCACTTCTGCCTTTGGCTCATACACATTTGTCTATAAAAGTGCAAAGTTCCTCCAATGTAAGTTAGGAAAATACAAATCAACAGAAGTCACATCTTGCATATTAAATACTTCACATTGTTTACAAATTGCGATTGGCTGGAAACTATACAAATCCAAGTAATATCTTACAGTCATTCATATTTTGAGAACACATTTACAGTGAATTTACATATCYGAACTTTAGAGGTCTTGGTTTGCAGATTTTCTTGGCTCGGCACAGTTCGGTTGAAATGTGGGGTGTCTGAGTGGGTTGTGTTGGTGATGATGCCTGAACATTCTCAGACTAGGAAATACGAGGTGATTGCTGCTAGTTTTCAAGATTTTGGAAGTTTGAGTATTTGTAGCCCCAAATGGAATATTTGTACTGTATCTAAAATTTGTGTARTTTAGGTAGCAAAATATAATTTGAAAGTGTTAATAGCAGCTGTGTAGCTTGTTTTAGTGGATTTGGTGCCCTTGTTCTCGCTGTGATTTTTTTTTTTTGTTTTCTTTTGGCAAAGTCATTAGCCATTAATAGGAATAGGCAGCTGCAATAACTGTAGAACATTATTTGTGGTCTGCCCTTTATACCGTGCTCCTATTCCTCCTGGGTTTATCTCCCAGCTGGAATGTCTGTAGCTGCTAGGTGAATAAAAGCAAACAAACGTTTGCAAAAACAAACAGAAGGAGTTGTTCCAAAAGCATGTCTGACCTTTGGAAAAAAATCATCTCTATTCTCATTTTTTTGCCATCTTGGATATAGATGGGACATGGATTTCTGGGTTCTAAAGTCAGTAGCAGCCATCTTTTGTCCCAGCTGTTGGTCACTGATCCTGTGCAGCATGGTACCAACTAAAATGGGACTGAATGGGATTGCAGCAGCAGTACTTGGATAATATATATATATATTTAAAAAGAAACACTTACTAGAAAATACAATTGCTATGGCAAATGCTGCCATAATGTCATAATGTAATCATTGCAAGACGCAGACTTGCAGCATCAGAGGAAGAAAGGAGCTGAACCCTGAAGTGACATTAGGTGAAAGAAGGTGCAGCAGAGATGTCCATTGGAAAGAAAGACCAGAGCCCCACAGAGACTCTCTGCACGTGACTGGAGGTAGGTAGACCCAAAGCAGATGATGGATTTACAGCTGTTGCTTAAATTCATTGTATGGGAGAAGCACTTTTTTAAAAAAACTACAGAACAACTACAATAATTTCAAAAACCACACTTGCATACTTGCRCAGCACCTTTCACTCTAGCCAACTTTTTGTAAGATCGATGTATTTAGCAATGAAGGTACTTACCACATATTAATTTTAATACTGTATGTGCGACCGTATGCCATAGGCTGCTTTGAAGAATTCAACCAGAGTTTGTAGATAAAACCTCTCACCTTTTGCTATATTAAAAACTTCTCCACAAATATTCATTTGCATTTTAATTAATCTGCTTAAGCAAATGCTTTTGTACCCTTTCCAGAACTACTTCTGGATGTGAGCGACTTCAATTCACCTTCATGAGGGTTAGTAGAACGCAAATGCAGACTTCTACGTGTGAGAATTTGTAGAAAATGAATTTGGATTTTACAAAAGTGAATATTTGCTCTCAGAATTCTATATAATAAATTTTATATTAGTTCTGCCAAATAACAAATTGATATCATGCTATCAATCACAACCCACCAGAATAGCACAAAGAACACTGATTAACTGCAGCTAACTTTTTAGATGCCAGAATATAGTTAGTATGTTTGTATTAATATTGCTGCATAGGTGGAGTTAGCCAAAGGAGATAACTGCCTGATATAATTCAGAATAGAATTTTATTTCAGTATAACTGGATTGAATACTGGGCATATTAAATCCAGGCCAGTTCAGGGTTCCATACTGTTSATTTCGGACAGTATGGTGTTTCTAGCATATCTGAGAAATGTAATGGTCTGGAGTAAAGTGGATCACAAAAGTAGTTTTACAATCAAAGGAAAAGTCTCCACATACTCTTTTGTAAATGATATGAAATGAGCAGGTCTTGCATAGTGGTCAGTGGTTGTACTGCTAGAGTGAGAGATTTGAGATGTGACTGTTGGTTTTCATCTCTTAGATATCCCTAAGATATCCCTAAGGCTGATTTGGGGATAGGGCTTGGCAGAAAGCGTGAAGGAGGAGACAGCCCCCAAATTCAAGTGCTGTTTTTGCTGCTCCAGCCTGTCTCCTGGTGCAGACTGCAATGGGACAGTCTGGCCGTGGAGAGAGGGGTGAGGAGAGGACACTCTCTCCTAAGCACCCGCTGTAGCTGGACTGCTTGGTCTGTGGCAATTTTGTGCGGAGGCCRAAACGCAGGGCACCTCATATCTTGTTCTCCTGCCATCCATGTGCGTTCTTTCCAAACTTGTACACCAGCCTTCTGTCCACCCTTTCCAAAATTCCAGTTTTATAGTAGTATCTGCATTTGAAAAGAAAAAAGGAAAGAAGAATGTAGCAGTAGAAGTCACATTACAGGAATTCTTTATGTGGACTTCATGGTATGAAAACAACACATGAGTCAGTGTTATTTCGAGGAACAGAATTCCCTTCTTTCTGTTCARTTTCTACTGTGGCATTAGAAAGCTTTAAATTTTCCCCACTACATCTTTTGGAGTACCTCTTTTGCTGTTTCAAAAAGATACAGGGATGTCCTCTTTGTCTTTGTTTTTTTTCTCTTTTCTCTAAGATTACCAAAAATCAGAAAGAACTGCTAGTGTCAGTGCTAGAGGAAGAAAATAAATGGAGTCATTTTGCAAGAGTGGTAGTGCAGCTTGTCTGTTGAGGGATAGCCTWGTTGCTTCCACTAGAGTTACTGCTCCGTACCACTTGGCACTGAGCTCCACGCTCCTCTTCGGGAACAAAGGAGACCAGAATCTATCATGACCTATAGAAATAAACTGGAAAAAAATACTAAACTCCCGACCTGAGTTTTCAAGACAACTGTAAGAAATGGATGCTGAGGTACAAATTACTTAAAATGAGGGACATTTCTACCTGTTAACTCACCGGAGAGCTCTGCTCAGTTTTTCGTATGTCATTCTGTCGTTTTTTTTCCTTTGTCCCCACATCTTTGCCAGAGCTTCTGATTTAACAACCCGAAAAATGCCTTGTCCCCTGTCTTCCCATTCGAGAATGCCGCTGTTTTCTTCAGGAGAAAGGAGGAGGTCTCTTACAAATTCCCACAAATGAGAACTCTGCAGGTCTTGAACAGGAAGAAGACAGGTATTAAACAGGTATCGTACCAAAACACTACCAAAATACTATGGTAGAATTATGCTTACGGTATGTTTTTTCACGAGGCAGTCAGCATCATTAACAGATTCTATGATCTTAATTTTAAAATTTTTAACTCCTTGTTATATAGGTGAACTCAAATTACTTCAGGAGAAAGTAAATCAGGATCTATGCAGGATCAGGATCCACACAGCTGATGTGTCTGCTTTTTGCTCCATAAATTACAGAGTTTTATAGTCTTGCAAAGCTTATCTCATTCACCTGCTCAGTTCCACCAATCACCAAAAAATTCCCAGGCTATCTAACTGGAAGTTTTTGTAGGAATTTTCAAGTTCCTTTAAAATGCTTTGAATTAAAGTTTGTAACAAACATTGACTGAAAAGGAGAATTTGCACTGCCCATTTCCTAGCATTGCTAGATACTTTGAAAAGTGCTTTAAGAAAAATGCAGGTAGGTCAAGACTCATTCTAAAATCATAAGGGCCAGCAGTGCTTACAAGCCAAACCCCAGTTAAATTTCCTTGATTTTTGGTGTCATTTAACTTTCTTTTAATAATCCCCATGGAGCTTGGAAATCTGGAGCAACATGGCCTGTATAATCTTCCAAACGCCGGTTCTGAGTTTCTGATATGCACTTACTTGTTCTACCATGACCGTGGCATTCCTGGCCGGTGATGCCACCGGCCGTCGTGCATGCCTTATCTCCAGCTGGTGGTGCTGAACTGCAGAATAACGTGAGAAGTGAAGGAGGTGCCACCGAGGCTGCGGGCAGTTTGCTCCGAAAGGCACCTATTCAAAGGGCATGCAACATTAAGTCAGAGAGGGTATGTGAGCCAGTGACTTTATCTCTTTAATAAAGCTCTAGCACAAAGGTAAACCCGAGTAAATAATTAACACATGACTGTACGGCTTGCAGCACAGTAGAATACATAACATTTTTGTTAATGTTCTGATAAAAATGTTTAGATTCTGTAGCTTATGGAATTTGGAGTGTGGTGTGCATCCATAGGGTATGTCTCTGTGATGTGTAGTCTAAAGATTTCTACCCCCTACAAAAAATATCTGCTGAGTACATGATTAGTCAGAAAAGTACAATTCTGTGAGAGCATTGAACAGTGGAGACCCATGTATTTACTTCACTGGATAAATAGGTTAAACACAGCAAAGTGGCAGAACTTTTGTGATGATGGACCACAGTGTTACATTATGTCCTTGCTGTTATGTGCCTTTTTTTATGTTTTTAAGAGCTGACCTCCAGAAATTTATTTTGGTGTGTGTAAAACTATAGTAAGCATTAAAAGTAAAAACCAACTCTATAAGTACAGGATCTCTGACACTGAAGGGGTCATGCGTTTAGGTCTGAATGGTTCATAATGTATCCAGAGCCTGCTGCTAGCCCAAAAGAGTGTCAGCCAGAGTTTGAGAGGGACAGTGCCACATCTCCAACCAGCAGAAAGCCACTGCCTTGGAAGAGGCTGTTTTTAACTGCTGCTGTCGATGGATTTGTTTAGCCCTCTTTTACTAGTGGAAGAATTTGAGCAAGAGCATATCCCATATTGCCTGAATCTTCTTGTGGGCCACTAGTAAATCCAGCCACAAACGCTAATTCCACAAACCGATTGAGAATTATTAGATTAGTAGAGCTGGTGATATCCAGAATTGACTGGTTATAGCATATTCTGATTTTAGAGGTATTTAGACACCTGGTTTCTTCCTTGCTTATCCGCATCCTTAGCAAATAAGCAGCCAACTTGGCTGACTTCTTGTTTAGGATGGCATAGGGTCTGTAGCTGTATGGTATCCCACCTAACTGCCACCTTCCTCCAAAAGTCAAAGTATTCCCCATGGGAAAGAAGTCATGCTTCTACCCTTTGGGAATCCCTGCACTAAAGGACAAGCTCTGCTTAGTACTGCTCAGTGAAACTGCCAAGTTGTTGTAGGGATCCTGCTCTCCTTCAAAATACCCATTCAGAAATGTTGGAATCTTTGCTAATCTTTGCTTTTTTGTGTGTATCTTTTTGCCAGTCTCTGCATACTGAAGGGATTTCAGTAAAACCATTAGCTGGAAGCAAAGGGCCTAGATTTTTTTTCATTTGTAGAAATCTGTTGAACTGCTGAATATTTCTGGTCTTTGAATAGACTGTGTGTCTGCTGTTCAATGGAGCTTATTGTGCACAGGCATATTTACTTACTGTTCTTGATAGGTGGCTTTGTTTCTCCTGCATCAGTAAAGAAAGAGATGCCTATAGGGGAAAGAAAACCCAGTGTTCAGTTCTTTTCTTCTCAACCTGTAAAATGCCTTCTTAACAGAAATTTAAAGCAAAGTTCTGCCCTACTCCAKAAGTGCTTGAATATAGCTCAAAAAAAGTTGGAGAAAATGCAGAATATAGAACCACAAAAATTATTTTCAATTTATTTGCTACTAACATTATTTGTCATTACATCTGTTTTATTTTTATTTTTTTCTTACCTCCTTCTCCTCATTTGAGCCTGTGTGTCTCTGCTCACATCTCCCAAGCTCACTTCTTTCATGCATACCAAGTTTCCTTTCCCTCTGGTCTCTTTTCATTTTGATTTTTCTGTCAACTCTATTGAACTTTTTTTCTACTTCCTTAGATTTGTCCTTCCTCATTCAACCCTTATCTCCTTTAAAACTACTCCTTCAGTCTTCCMTGTCTCTTTGTCCCAACTAGTGATCATCTCTGCTGGAATTCAGATGTTCACAGGGCTGGAATTTGTCTTCTGTGCATTCACCTTTGTAAAGGGGTCATTGTATTCACAGCACACAAATGTATTGCATGAACAAGGGACTTAAGGGACTATGTTTAAGGGACTTGATTTATGTTGCAGAGTCTAGCACACAAAATTGGAACAATGATGGAATTAAACCTGCCTGTGTAGCTATTTCAGTGTGATAAGGCCTTGCATTAATGGAGCAAGTATTGCTCCTGTGTGTGGTGACTCAGTGGCTGCTGGTGATGAGTAGCTATTGCCAGTGTTGTCCCACTGTGGTTCTCCAGGATCTGTATAAGCAGCGAGGGAGCACTGGCCTCCTTAGGCCATTCTTCCTTTTCCAGAAGCCCTATGGCAACTTCAGTTTCTTCAGATTCTCCATGAAGCAAGAGCCAGGTTTGAGTTATTGAGAGCTTCAAGAAGCTAAAATGTATAGGGAAATGTCCTGAATTTCCCTGTTTAATGGAAAACCTTTTGCTCGTGTCATCACAACAGACTCTGAGGTCTCAAGTCTTATCTTTGGTACTGTTAAGCTGTGTGACAAGTGAATATAGTAAAAGCCTATCTTTTAGCAATAATTGTACTTTTGTTTCATTTAGACAAAGCCAGCATACCTTAACAGACTTTTAAACCTAAACTCATTTTAAATAGCAATGGAATGTCAAAGACAATGTTGAAAATATTGGAGTTTACATTCAAGAGTTTCACTGTACTGTGCTGGTGATAACCCCATTGAACAAAACTTCTTGCTCACTTTCTGAGAAGCAGAGCAACTTTCATTTTTTAAGTTAAATAAGTACAATTTTTGTCTTCCTATAYACAGTCAGGATATAAACCTGCTCCAGATTTTGCCAGCTGACAGGATTGAGTAGACATGCYTAAGGAAGAGTGGTCCTGAGTCTGCCTGGTGAGCAGCTCCCAGAGCTGAGTCTGGCCATCTTGTGGCCTGAGAGGCCCAAAACCTCATCAATGTTGGCTTTGCCTGCCCTGTTCCTCCATGCAGCATCTAGGTGCTCTCTATTTCACTTTCCTTCAGTGCTCACAGTTGTAAACCTCCCCCCCCCCCTTTTTTTTTTTTGGCTAGCATGAAATTCACACAGAATTGCAGTGCTGTGTTTTGCATTTGATCTTTGGAACACTAACCGTGCATCCGGATATTCTGTAAGATGAAATACAAGTATTCACCACAAGTGCCTGCAGCATCTAGGAACTCCTCTTGTGTCATGTTGCACAGCTGCAAGCCGTTGATATTGAAACGGGAAAAGGAAATGCAGTTGGCGTCCAGTTTGTATTGGTCACAGCAAAACTGTAACCATTCACAGACGTTGTGCTTACTCCAGTACTCTGGGTGAACGGATGTCCAGAAAGGATCGGAATCTGCAATATATTGGAGAAGAGGAACATTGCCATGCAAAACTCATTGTATGCATCATTTGAATAAGCATGTTTCAAGGAAAGCTAATCCCTCTTCCTTATCCCATTGCCAGCTTCCTTCCTGATTCCTTTGAGACACCAGGTCCTACATCTTGTGTTGTGCTGCAAGCTTTTGTTGCCACAGAAGTTGGAAACAGTTGCCCTTTCTGTGTCCATTCAGATCAATCTTAGAGAAATTGGAATGCAAATCTGCTTCTTGTATTCATTAGTTTTATAATTCATTACACAATTTGCTACTTTTACTTTAGGTTGCTATAGAAGGCTAGTAATTTCTCTCAGGTGAGATTCTTAAGCAGCTACAGAAATCCTAGGCTTGAACAACTATTGCTTTAATAGTTGTAGAAATGTTGGATTTGTTTTTTGAGTACTTTGACTCTATTATTCATTATATCCCTGGAGTGGCCCCAGTAACAGAACTAAGTAGCARTGGAAAGGCAATCAAGTGTCATGTGAGTGAGGCTAGCATAAGGAAATCATAAACAGTTTACTTTTACATCTCATATTTGAATTACACTTCACAATTTCTTAGTCTTTATTTCATCTTCAAATGAATCTTGGACTTCTGATTTGAGGCGCCATTGATATAAAATTGTAATTCAAAGTAGGCTATGATAGAACTGCAAGCAAAGTGAATTGTTCCTGTCATTTGTCTAGACAGTTTAGAGTGCAAATGATGCAAATATTCTGGATGAGTTTCCACAGTAAAATTAATTCAAAGGGTTTCAAATTGTGACAGAATAGCTGAAATATGGATCTTGCATCTTACATGGGCTTCTCAAAAATAATTAATACTTCTAATTAGAAGTTCCAAAAGTTTACATGGGAATTTGTGGTTGCTTTCATGAATCATTCCCATGCTATAAATATCTTCATCTCTATGCACATATAGAATTAATGTAATACTGAATGCTGTGTTTTAAACCCTGAGATGCTACTGTGACATCCTAGAAAAGCAAAGGGGTGGGCAGAAGATCTGGGTCTGGCTTTTGGGCCCCATACCTTGAGGATATTTGAATCTGAGATTTTATTCAACCCCTTATTTAAAAGGGAAATCGTGAGGTTGACTTTGGATGGGCTTCTGTGAGCCCTGTGAACTGCGCGCACCTGGCTGGGTCGGCGGCCGCAGGCTTCCTTGCGGGAGAATGGGAGCGCTGGGAGCACCAGGCTCACAGGCCTTCTGCCAGGAAAGAAAATCTCTAAAATTAGGCACAAAGTCTACAGGAATCCCAGCATTAGAGGCTGCTCAAGAAAAGCAGAAGCCTGAATTGATCTCTCTGGACCAAGCACGCATTTCAACTTGTACCAGCAGCTAACCACCGCCTTAGGGAAACTGGAACATCATCTGCATCCTAAGCTGGGCAGATTTATGGGCAGAGGGGCCTCTCTCTGGGGCAGCCATGAATCCAGCCCTGTGTCCCCTGTGCTGCTCCACCAACTGAGTCCAGACTCTTTTCTGCATTTTTGTGTGCTGGGCTGCTGAGTGACAAGGTCACAGCTTTGTTTTTGCTCTCTGGAAGAGTGTTTCATTGCTGTTTTTTCTGTCTTAAGGCAACATGAGAGACAAGCAGAGCTATTTATTCTGCCATCCCACAGGTATGGTGAATACCATTGAAAGGCTTTGGCCATTGGTCCTGAAACTTGGACTTGACTGTGATGAATATCACCTGGCTGGCAGTGTAAATGCCACAGCAAGTTTCTTTCATGGAACTGCTCTCCTCTGAATAAGTTACCCTATTTTMTTTGGCTTTGAAACATATTTTTGGAACTTTTTTGAATATTTCAGGGCCCCATACAGTGCCAATGTATATATAATGAGTGTTCAAAAGGCAYAGACCCCAAGGCCTGACATATGCATAGGCTCTTGCCTTTCATTTTTTATACTAGACTTTAGCTTTCAGGGCAGCTTTCCCACCTCCTAGGTGGTGAATGTGATCAAAGTATTATGCCGTGTATCCAGCCCTCAGGAAATGCCACTTGTTGACTTCATTTTGCAGGATTGTTTCAATCCATTGGCCTGATTTACATCCATCTAGCTGAGGCTGCACTGCGGAAGAGCGTGCTGACTGGCAGTGGATGCTGCGGTGGTGACAGAGCTGTGCAAGGCAGTAGATGTTAAGCAGATTCAGGAACACAGGCCAAGTAAAAGGTGATAGACTAGATTTTCCTCAGATGCACTTATTTCTGCATGACATATGCAGGCAAGCTAATATAGCATCTGTGCTGACAAGCACTGCTATCAGCCAGAAGGAAACTTGGTGGATACACCAAGAGGCTGCTTGTATTTAGCTCAGGTCTAGTTTAGGGCAGACAGATCAGTCCTACATATTTTGGTCCATGTTTTTGTTAGGTAGAACGGATATATTTCATTTAAGCATAGTATTTTATTTTTGGAGCCAGGATTTCCATACATTTTCTATACTATTTTCTTAGTGTTTTTCTCTTTTTCATCTAGTGCTGGAAAATCAGGATGAAAAATCAAAATGACATAATATTTCTAGTGTAACCTTTTTTTTAACTTTTAATTCATATGAAAAAAAAGAAGATGATCCAAAAATTTAAATCCTGCCATATTCTGATGCCAGAAAATAAAAAGAATAAAATGACCATAAGTCATTTTCCATTTTGGAAATAGAAAATTATGAAAATGATTCCCATTTTACAAATGAAACTGTAAGGCAGACTAATCCTATTGTTCTTATAGGAACTTGAGAATGACTGTACAGTCCCAGAAGAACTTCCATGACAGTGTCCTGCCTCTGCCTGGGTTTAAAGGAACAATTCTTCGTGTTAAGATACAACACTTTAGAAACTTACCTCAGGCTTTTGCATAAAAATGAGGGGCCTTCCTAGCAAAGTCCAGGCAGGAAGGAGGGGAGTCCTGAAGTAGCCTGTGTATCAGTGACCTTTTTCTGTCTCTTTCTAGGCAATCTTGTCATCCCTTTTTCATATATGTATCAACTTGAGCTTAAAGTTAATTTCTAGCAAGTACAAAACAGGCTTTTGAAAAACATAGGAATCACTATCTTTAAGCTTATCATAGCGATAATAAGAAAGTATGTGCTAAATGTTATTTTACTGATATATACTCATCCCTTTTTTTGTTTGTTTGCTTTGCCTTTATTGCTTCTTTTTTCTAGGACTTCTTAGGCAATACTGGTAGCACTGCAGTAATCATTTTATTTAATTGTCCTGGACATATTAAGTGCATTTCTGGGCTGCTAAGGGAGGAAGGAAAGAAGGAAACCCTATGAATACTCACAGATTTTATGAGGTTGATTGAAATTTGATTCAGGAGAAAAATTACTGAAACCCCAAAGGATTCCTAGAAGACCGAAGAAATTCAAAACTSAGAAAAAATGCAGAGTGGGAAACATAGCTGCTTACTATGGTTGGAAAAGACTATTTCCTTAGCTCAACTTTGCTAAGCAGCAGGGAACTCTGATATGGACGCTGCACAAAACTGGGTCTGAGAGCTCATGATGCTTTGTACTTAGTGACAAGTGGATTTAATTGCCAGAGTATACGTGCTGCTGGATGTGCAACCAAGGAGTTGAACACAGAATCATATTTGGCATTTTAAAATGCATTTTTAAAATTTGAAACAGAATACTTTCTATTATTTCTGTAACTTTGAATCAAATTTAGAATTCCAGTCTAAAATGGAATGAAAAAATGATATTAAAACAGTAGATTTTTTTTGAAATGAATATTCAGTTCCTGCAGGGATTAAATACAGTTATTAAGCTGAAGCAAACAGCTTTTTACTCTGCCTATGTCACAGAAAGCATTGAATGAGCAGGCTTACCAAGACAGAAACAAAACACTAAGCCTTTGATGGTTGTGGATTAGCACTGGTAAAAGTCATGTGGAAAGTTCTGTTCCTTATTACTGTGCATTGGCAGAAGAGGTCTTTTCTGTGAGACCAACAGTGTCCTTATTTGAAGGAACAAAAATAGCTTTGTAGGAGAAAAATGTTGCATGAAAACATAAATTCTGCTCAGTTGTCAGTGCAAGTCTGGCTCAGTGGTAGCAGYGGGTTGTGCTACATTTGTTTTTAGAGCCCGCTGAAACATTCAGTCTGAGTGCAGAGAAAGAGAATATCTGGACTGTTTAGGAATTCAAGCCAACTGTTTTGAAGGGAAAGAATTTCTAATGAGAAATGCTTGCTGATATTCCTGAATGAGGACCCAGCCTGGCAAGAGGCCCTCTGCAGTGCCTGGTTTCCATGTGTGCAATTGGAGAATTGCACTTAATATTGGTATGTTCTCCACTGGAGAACGGCTTTTTACTTATTACTGATGCACTTCTACAGCCACGGAGCTCTCCGATGGCTTTCACAATCATCRTTCTCTGCCCATAAAGGTATACTTATGTAGTCATTTATATTTATTATGAAAGAGGCATTTAAGGAACTGTAAAACTACTGAATTAAATTACTTTTCCCTTGTGTAGCTACTGCTCCATAAGATGGGAGCGACTTAAGTGACAGATCATGGGTAAACAAAAGGAGTTGAGAGCCTGCAGTCCTAGGTGTCCTGCCCCTCTTATTGAACTGTACTGTTATCTGGGAATTCCTCCTTGAATTACATGTATCACCTTGCGAAATGAGGGGAAAACTTGATCTAAATACAAACAGCTAAAGKTAGTACTATTCTACCTGTGCCCCTTTATCTTGCATGTCTGGTTATATGCTTTAAAGTGTTAGTAAGATTAGAATAAAAGATGATTCTATCAGCTCAGCTGCAAGCTCTAAATTTATAGGCTCTTAGTTACATGATTAGTCTATAACTAAATTAAAATCAGCGTTGAATTTTTGACGCTGCACATTCTTTTCAATCTCTCTACATACCTGTCTGATGATCAAAGCTGGGATAATCATCTTCAGTTCCAAATAACTCTGTCCAAGACATCAGGGGATCACAGACCATTGTGTTGGATAGAAATGTGCTGTGCGTGGCTGAATCCAGCATCACCTTAAAATATTAACACATTATTTGGAGATGAGAGGATAATACTGAGAACATAAGTTACAGATCTGTGATGTACTGTGCCAATAGTCACTTAAACTTCAACTGAAATTAAGGATGGTCCTGAAAACTGCAGTGAAGAGACAACAAATTCAGCAAGAATGTACCCTATCAAGGTCTGTATGCATCTTTGAAGTAAAAGTGGTTGGAATGACTTGTCCCTAGGATTTAATAATGCAATTTATGCATATAAAAAGTGAGGATTTTGTATTGCATTCTGCAGCAACTCAGAACTGACAGAATTACTGCTGTTTTGACTTTCTAAATTGTTTATGAAGAGACATGTCATGAATGAGCATAAGCTCCTTCATTGCTGCTTAAAAGCATATTGTTGGGGTTAACATTATGATTTAATGAGATCACGAGTAAAATTTTATGATCAAATCCTCAGACGTATGAAAACATTGTCCTCGTCATAAGGGTGCTCAACATATCTGTTAGACACTGGCCACAGATTGCAACCGCTCCAGAGTGGAGGGAGTTTAATGAAGTCTGACTGAAAAGTGCATTTGCAAAAGAGATTAGAAGTTGGGAGTTCGTGAGAAAAACTGGGAAACCATTTCAGAGGGCCTAAGCTTCAGGGAAGAAGGTTGTTGTACCAAAAGTGAAATGACTAAAGAAGAAAGAAAAGAACAGGTGATACTACAGTGAGGAAGACAGGTAGACTAAAACATASTATCTAAGATAAACTAAAGTAAGTATAGAAATAAAGAATTTCCATCTATAGCTCTTTCTACACATATATAACCTGCTTGCAACACACATCTACACACACATGCACTTCTCAGGTATTTTTAGCTAAGTTTTTAGCTAAATGGCTTAGCAGACTTGAAGGAAAGAATTAAATGGAATTTAAACCCAGAGTTCCTTGGGTTCTAGTTCACACTTGCTTTCCTGTTTGGGAGAGAAAGGAATTGTTTCTTGGAGTAACTGCTGCATAAATACAAATTCAATGGACTTGACTTTGATGCTTGCCTTTCAGATTCGGACAAAACTGCTCAAGCCAGTTTTGGCTCATATTCAGACCTAAGCTACTTCTGCCTTTTATAACTAATTCCAGCCTGGATAATTTCTAGCACAAAGAAACTTCAGGTATTTAATAGGATAATAAGTCTTAATGTCTATAAGATATATAGTTAGTCCAATATTAAGTATTTTAAGATCAAAAATTACACAAATACCTGCATACAATAATAGTAATAATAATAAAGAAAAAAACAGATTTATTTTTAATGTTAAATTACAGGTTTGAAAGAAACTCAGCTCTTGGTCTAGATGACGATAATGATGTGGAAACATCTTGGATGTTTCTGAAATCCTGTGACATATTGGAACTCCCCTGTAGGGCAAGGTAGTCTTTCAAAAGCATTGTATTTCCACCTGATCATTATTGTTATGAATGCAACATACAGGAATATAAAACGTAAATCATTTAGCCTGGTATTCAAAGAGTCCGTTCTTTCTGCATTGATGCTGAAGGATTTAGTGTGAGACACTTTATGTGTGTCTATAGGTATAATTGTGCTTTTGGATGAGCACCACACTTCCTGTGAGCGATTCAGAATTTCACTGCATTCATATGAAGTAATACATACTAATCTGCCAAATCCTCTCAGCCTGTAAGATGTTTACCGGAATTTAATATTAGAATTTGTGTTGCTCACAATCAGTTTTCTTAATTCCTTCAGCTTAGTTGGGCCACATGGAAAAATGACCTAATGTCATATCTATTCACAATCAATTTAGAAAGTCAAAAATAGTGGCATTTTTATCATTGCTGCAGAATATAATGCAAATATAAATAAGCACAAAATGCTTATTTGTTTTTTCTCTACTTGATATTCAATTCTAACATTTGAATGTGATGTTGCTGGCTTACTGTATGCAGACATCTTGAAATTCACGGTGTAGAAATAAGCCAAACATTCTCTACGCTAACAATTCAAATATATTGCTCCAAGTTTCTCAGAGAAATAAAGAAATGGAGACCTGTTTGTGTTTATCACTTATACAAAAGAAAGTAATGGTTTCCCCCAGAGGAAAAACATCTAAATGCAGTTTTGGTCCTCTTGCAACCCATGGAACTGCTTTCATATTCAAGAGCAGAATTTCACTGCTCATTAATCACCAAGGGGTGGCAGGACAGAGACATGCAGAAGACCTGCATAGAAACTCACCAAAGAGCAGTGAAGAAATGAGGGGGAAATAGGAATCTTTGCCTGCCAATACTGTCCAATTCTGTAAGGATGGGCCACTGCCTCTGGGGAGCAGAGGGTCCCTGTTGAGCACCTTTGAATAAGGCAGAGAGTGGCAGCATGTGTGCAGGGGCAATGACCTTCCCAGCTCTACGTGGTGAGCAGCTGCTGGGAGCACGTGCTGGTACCAGCGCAGGAGGCACATATAACCTCCAGAAGCCAGTGGCCATTGGAAGAAATGAGCAGAATCACTCCCAAGATGATGGAAGTGCACTGTTTTCAGACGGATTGCTAAAAAATTCCACAACTTCCTACTCAGGTTAATGAGATTTTTTCTATCAGAAGAGAGAGAGGAGACAGAATTTCAGTTTTTATTCTATTCTCTGGCAGCAGAAAATAATTCTTATCTCACTGTTTCACAAGTTATAGGAATTATTTTTGCTAGAAATTCAAATACAAAACAGAGAGGAAGAGGAATACAAGACAAAGTCTTTTTACAGTACAAATCATTTCTCATTTGACTTTTTTTGTAGGGTGGTGAAAAAAATCATTTCAAAATAGTTACTGCTTAGATAAAAGTAGTTAGTAGTTACTGCTACCTTGAAAGATCATAATTATGTCTCCATCTGGGTACGATTTAGCTAGAAAATTACAAAGCTAGTAGTATTTGCATCATTGCTGGTGGAGTGGTAATGACAGATTGCTAGATTTAGTGCCTTGTTTGTGAATTTTCATGATGAATTTTCCAAGGCTGAAAATAGATTTGCTCAAGGTGACATGACACCTGAGAAGTTTTATGAAGGATGTATGAACTCTATTACAAGCAATGCAGGGTTAGAAACAGAGCCAAAGCCATTAGATTTGGGGAGGGTTCAGAACTAGACACATATTTGAGTTTGTAATTTACTGGGGACTAAACTTATTTTTCTAAGCTGGGAAATTATTTTTGTGTGGTGGAAAGCCAGGCTGAACCCCTGCTGTAGCCACTCTCAGGCGTGGGGTGAGGCATGGGGCAGAGCTGCCGGGCTTGCTTCCCACTAAAGGACTCGGTGGTAGACACAAAAAGCCATTTAGGAAGGAAAAATCCTGTTTTTTCTGTCTATATATCCATCTGTATATACATGTCCATCTGTATGTATGTTGTCAATACACAGAGCTGTGGATGTTAATTTTGTTAATTCTTAATAGGATTAGCAGAAGTAGTCTCTTTTCAAATAGTCTGTGCAAACAGGATGTCGGTTTGGGTGACCTCAAATAATTTTTCACCGTCAGCTAGTGCTGCTTATGTACACATATACATATCTGCTTAAACACACTTTGGAGGGAAAGAAAGGGGAAGAGGCAGGAAACTGTTTAAACAACAGGAGAGCTTTACGGTATTGCTTTTACTTGAGCTGCTATCGTGCTGGAAGGAGCAATTAATTAGCTGACACATTACAAACATTCTCTTTTAATTTAATGAGACAGGCTTATTTATTAAAAGGCTTTTGTTGAAGCTAATGCATGTCTCATTAAACCAAAGTCAATTGTTTATCACTGAGAAAGCTGGTGATGCACAGAAGAGAATGGCAGGCAGTGCATCAGCTGAGTGCCTGATAAATCAAAACTGCTTTGGCAGCCTACAGCTCTTTTAAAAACAGAGACTTTGATAAAGAAGTAGAGCTTACGTGCAGGTGGGCGCTTGCTCCGGATGCAGCGGTGAAGTCCAGAAGAAGGTGGCGGGAGCAGGGGGAAGCAGGAGGCTTTGGCAGCAGCACAGCCCGGCGCTTTGGAAATAAAGCCACCTGCAGGACTACGATATAGGGAACACCTTACAGACAGGTTCGTTTGGTTTTTCAAGTTCTTATACACACCCCTTTTGATGACAGTGATAATATACAGTAAAACATAGCCCAGGGAATGAGGGAGAAACATTCTCAAATGCAGAAAGTTTACCTTTATCCCTTATTATATTTTTCTCCTCCTCTAAAAAGTGTTGATTTACGTAAGCATGACTTGGGCCACCTTTAGCAAACGCGGTATCTTTAAGCACTTGAACTATGGAGGCTCATCTCCCTCATGGCCTTGGCATGTAGGAAGGACTATCACATTTCTCGCAGGGCCCTCAAGCCCAGGAAAGTGACATTCTCACCGTTCACATCTGATGGAGACCGGGATGCAGAAAGGTGACCTGAAGCAAAACACTGACCGTGTCGGAGCTAGGACAGAGCTCCTCTAGTGTCAATCTGTATCTGGGTCCAGGGCAACGCTGTGCCTCTGAGATCCACCAAAGCACTTGCTGGGATCTAGCCCTGATGCTGCTGCCTTCAGGACCTGAATGACTGTAAATTGATGTGATTTTTTTGTGAGGAGGATGATTGCTATTATTAGAAGCAACAGATCATAGGAGAGAATTATCTGGCAAGGACAGTTGTTCTTAATATAAATCAAGGACTTTGACCAATGTGTGGACCAAAATATTTTTGTGCCCCAGAGCTTCATTTTAATTAGCACCTCCCCAATGATGTCTGCATCAATAGCAAGAGTTAAAGATTTAGGGACATAAGGCACTTGAATTCTCCTGGGAGATGCTATTTTTAACATTGAAAATTCCACAGCTTTATAAGTGTTAGATGTACTTTGTATTAAGATTTTCCTTTCTTTGGAAGTTCCCTGTTTGGAATTGCCATTAAAGCCATTAAATGAAACAAACACAGAGACACAAGGTTAGCAGGGTCCCTCAGGCTTAGTCCTATGCTTTCCTTTCAG